AATATTACTTGTTAAGCTTGGACAGTAAAAATCAAGTTGTCTTTAGTCCTAAATAGAGTTATTTAAAATATTTTGAAATAACTTTACCCTATAACATCTGTCCATGACCTTATATTGTTATCTGAAAATTATTTTTCTGTCATTCATTCTCCTTGTTAAGGAAAAGTATAATGCTTATTGCTATATTATGCTTTGCTGAGTTTGGAATATTTTTCATTGACCCTATAGCTGAGAGAAACTTCAGTATCACTTCTCAAGAAAAATTCTCCAGCCAATTAACGATGGTATGATATATATACATCACCTATATTTTTGAAATATTATCCTAGTACGAAAAAAAGAAACTAACAAGATCAAGGAAAATATGTTGAATACTAGAACAGATCTTTTAGAAGTTATTAGTCTGTAGCCATCATCAAAGTCACTATAAACAAGTTCCCTACAAGACAACAATGTTCCACAAGGGCTTCTGGAGTCACACCACTTGTACTGATATTAATACAAAGCTCAGGTCCAACTGCATCCCTGTTTGAAAATATATTCCAACTTCCTTGTAAAGATTTTTCAATTCACTCTATGCCTTCTTGCTTATCTTTGACTGATGACTATAAGTATGAAAGAGAATATAAAATTAAAACCACTGCACCCTGGTGGAATTGGGAAGCTCATGTTGAGTTAACTTCTACAAGCCAAGTTAAAATTAAGCTAAGTTTAAGCCATAGTTAGAGCAATCAGCTGCAAGAGATGAAGTATTAGGGCAAATCCAGGGGGACCATCCTACCAGACCTAAGGGTTGTTCTACAACTTGTCTGACACCAAAATTCTTGCAGTGGCACTCACTCAAAATGACCACATTAAAGTTAATAGTCTTGCTCCAAATAAAAGATTCCAGAATCCATCCCTGAGTATTTTTGTAATAATTTAGACACTTCTGGTATGGATGGAAATGATTCCACTGTTTGCAATCACCTCTTAAAAACGAAGTTCTACCACAAATTATTGCTTTTAGACAATTGTTAATGGCTTTTTTCATAGATGTGATCCCTTTGCTGTTGAAAACCAACCAATCACAAAGGAATATATTGCTCCATAACAAGACATGTAACCAGTTGACCACAACTCTTGAAGAAGACTGCAGTATGCAGTCAACGTGGGAAATGTCATCTTCAATCTTGGATATCAAACACAACAGTACTTTGACTTTCAACTTGCACCCTCTCTTTAACCCTTTAACTCCCATGAGTGACCAAGACAGAATTTCTCCTTACAATATCAATACAATATCAACCAGATAAGTGATGAGAATAACAGGGTGTCAAGTGACAAATGATACTTAGAAAATAGGAAAATAAGAATGACAGTGGCCAAAAAATAGGAAATAAATAGGAATTCTCACCCCAAAATAGGAAAAAAAATAGGAGGATTTCTTTGAGTTCTATCCTCTTAACACTCCCAACAGCAACTCTGTTCCACAACCCAAATCCAAAATGCATTGCCATGTAAACAAAAACAAGTGTTACCCCCCATGTTACCAGGCACAACTCATCCTACAACAATTACCAGATTCCAAATTTCATTAGATACAAAAAAAAATCACTCAGAAAGGCTTCAAACTGGTCTCTTTTGACATGAAGTTTCAGTTTTTTTTAGAATTTATCAATTTTATTGGCAATTTATTTCAAATATTTCAAAATGTTTCTGTGTACCCAGTAAAACCCTAAAAACAAGAAAAAACTAGGAATTTCATGAAAAAATAGGAGAAAATAGGAAGCAGGCCAAAAAATAGGAAAAAAATAGGTGCTTGATACCCTGGAATAAAGGAAAATATCAATTTGGGGATAATTAGTTGATCCAATACTAAATTCTCTGAAGTAACATAAGAATTGTATGGTTGACAGTAAGGGGAATTACAAATTTGGTCTGGGAGTTAAAGGGTTAAGGTAATTTGATAGAATTGGCTATGTGAGGAAGATTGAGAACAAGAAAAATAAACTAACCTTGAATCTTTCTTCTAAAAGAGACACTTCACTGATAAGGTCTGTGATAGCATTGGTGAATGCTTCTTGAGGACTGTAGTCTGGCGTAGTTTGCACTCGAAGAACAAACTTATGCTCAAGGGGATGAGGGACTTTATATCCAGCAAATATTACCTGTGGATCTCGCAGCAGTTGCCTGTGAGTTGAAAATCACAAATATGGTATTTCAAAATGAATTCAAAGCCTTAAAGGTTGATAATGGTAAAACTATCACTCAAATATGATCTGAGCAACATCCTTAATTTTCAGATAGAAATATTTCATTCCAATAAAGGGGGCATAATGTAAGAGGCTTAGTAGCTTTGCACTTAAAGTAGAATGTCTTAAAAATACCTGCTAACCTTGAGTGGGATGGTTGTCAGCCAACCAGTAACATACTAGCTATCCATATTTTTTTTTTTATAGTGATACATGAATGCAATTTTCCTCTGGTTGAAACAAAATAGAACAACAAAGCTATGGTTGTGGCCAGCAAAGGGTCTGTTGAGCAACAAATCAAACTGGCAAAAAATGTCTCTATACAATCTTATGATCGATCTTAAATACTCGTCAGAAAAAACTCTTAATTGGCTGTCAAGTCCGTAGCACTGTTTAACTCACGCTCGAAGAAGGTTTCCTAATGTGTGATCTTCTTTATTTACAACAAAGTGGGCAGCATTTGGAACTTTAGTGTCCTTAGTGATAGTTATCCTGAAAATTTAAAAAAATGCTTAATTAAAGATCAATCCTTTCTCTTTAACACTTTGTTATTATCGTTCTATATAGGAACACAATGCATACACTTACTTTTTATCTCCATCAAGCAATAGAAATGGTTCAAATGACTCCGGAGCATTCATCGTTGGGGAATCAAGCTCTAATTTGGACTAAAACATTCAACGAATAGAAAAATGGCCTCTCGCTTACAGCATGTTCTTCCCTTCCAAAGGATTTAGTACTTCATTTAATTCCGTTTATTTTTCTTCAATATACATAGTAGATCCAGACCCCATAGGTCAAAACAGTCCCAGAATGCATCATTAAAGCTATTCCCGCCAATTTTGAAGAAACGCGCTTACCACACATTGCTGAGCTTCTAAGCGCATATTGTTTCTTTTTCTTCTTTCTTCTTCAATTTTTTCTCTAAATGTTATTCTTGTCGTTAAAATTTTATTGTAGCTCATAAAAATATGAGAAATCCGGGTGAAAGTCCAGAAGGACGTGTGCAGAGCGAAACTTCAAGCGAAGGTACGAATGTTCCGCCATCAGTCCTATGCCCTCTTTCAAATTTTCCAGGTCGGATCTTGTCATTTGTAATTTTATAGCTTACAGAAACGTTTGGTTTTATTTAAAGCATATGCTAAAGGTTCTGACAGAGACGAATGTGATAGTCCACCATGTAAAAGACTGAAGCAAGGTCAGTTGCTACGAAATAAGAAAAAATGATAATAGTGAATATGTACGTATATACAAGAAACTCGAGAAAACTTGGGGCAGAAGGCATCTAGAAAACCCAATTTAGGATCACTATAATCTATTCGTTTCTCAGCCATTGTTCCCTCGTTAAATTTAAGGTTTCCTAACAATTGTTAAAGGTTCAATAATTTTGAAGCTGTTATTTTCACCTGGTAAGCTGCGTATTTAAAAGCAACTGATGTTATCATTACGATGTGCTCTGTTTTGGCTCGATTAATTATTTGTAGGATGGAACACTTATACAATTACTTTCTTGTGTGCAAGGGAATGGTTGTTTTTACTGCAGTGTCACTGTAGTGATACTGCAGAACTTTGCAATAATACTGTGGCCCATAATTAATGGCTACAATGATCTTGTGTGCAGATTGTGTTAGAATTGGACAATATAGTGCACACCTTGAAATGTGTTTGTGATGTTTGGAGCACTAATTCCACCATGAAACTTGCAATTTCACTTGTGATATATTTTGTAACAAGGAAGACTCATTTGAGGGGTAACCCCCATATTTTTTTAATTTCAGGAGTATTGTCCTTTCCAACAGTATCTTCATCTCTGTTGACCTCCACTGGATCATTCAAGACTTCAGTTTCTGTCCAAAATGAGGCTGACAGCATTAGCAACTGCCAAAACACACCATCTGAACCATGCAAGGAAAAAACTCAATCCAGTGGAGGTCTTGTCACTGGCGCTCCCTCTCCCCCTGATTTGAAGGAAAGTTTAGGAAAGCCACAGAATACCACAGATTTGTCAAAAATTTCCAAAAGTTTGGTTCTTGAAAACAAAGATGATAAATTAGTTGGGCAGAGAGATGCAAGCTCCATTTCCTCACCGGAATCCACTTCCTCTTCTCGTGAAGATGAAGCAATGGTTATAGATCAGTCACCACCAGTCAAGGTAATAAACATCCAAAACCGACAATAGGCATAAAGAAATGCAGATCATGTATTAGTCTCTCTTGGTGCTTAGATACTCAAATTTCAGCTCCACTTCCTCAAAGAGATCCTATATACATATCTTACACTGTTTTGCTAAAGGTAAAGACTGGGATCTTCAGACAAAAAACAAAAAAAGGTCTGATATCTGCCCTAACTAGTTCAAGGAAATCTCTAAAGATTGAAGTGAAGTTGATTGTGACCTTGGTGTTAAAAATTATGTGAAATCCTTGTACTACAGTGGTGTATATACCACCACTTTTTCAACTTTGTTCTCGTTATCAGAGATCTTGCTGCATCTACATGTACAAGAAAAGGAGACCATATTATTTTGATCTGATTTTTCCCAATGATATTCATTTGAAATTGATTAGTTTCTTTCTTTTTGTATAGGGAAATAGAAAGAGCCCAACCTTAAAGAGTGCTGAAAAGTTGAAGAGGAAGGAGGAACGGGTATAGTAATGACTTTTATGGTATTGTTGTAGTCTGCATTGTTGTTTTTTATTGTTTCCATTAAATGACTTTTCAGTAGTCTAGTGCTTTCAGTAATAATTATCATTCATTAACATGTAGACCAATTTGGTGTGAACATCTTTGGTATTGAGACAGGTTAGGAAAAATAGATATTTGTTCTTTAAAATTTAAATTGCAAAGAGGAGAATGGGAAATTGAATAATAGTTTTTTTATGAGATTTCCTTTTTAATTTCAGGAGAAAGAAAGACAAGAGAAGCAAAGATTAAGAGAGGAGAAACTAAAAGAAAAACAAGAGGCCAAGGCAGCCAAAGAAAAGGAAAGATCAGAAGCCAAAAGGAAGCGTGACCTTGAAAAACAGGAAAAGCAAGCTGAAAGGGAGAGAAGAGAGAAAGAGCGAATAGAGAGGAAGGAGAAGGAAGAAAAGGAACGCTTGGAAAAGAAGGGAAAGAGAGAGGAGGAAAGAAGGAAACGAGAAGAAGAAAATAAGTAAGTTTAAAAAGGGTACAAACAAAGGAAAATTATACATGCACTGGCATTGTTCTTTTCATTGCACGTGTTGTATGGCTATTATGCAACCTTTGTGAGAGAAAAATCCAGTTTGTGAAAGGTGATCAATTCGTCAAGCTTGGACCTTACTAAAATTAAAGTGAGGATGAGAGGATCCTAGTAGTTGGGTGATGAGAAGTATTTTGTATGCTTTTAATGACACTAGCAACTTCTCTTGAAACAAAGCATTCTGATTTGAAAAGGCTGTTCATTTTGTTGTTTATTTTACTTCTGTTTGGTTGATTTCAGTGCAAAGTTAGAAGAAAAGAGGAAGCGAGAAGAAGAGAAGAGAAATCAAGAAGAAGAACAGGTACAGCTTACAAGTAGTAATGCTGTTGGTAAGGTTTATCTTGTTAATAATTGCTTCAATTGTTTCTCTTTGTTAGACAAGAAAAAGACTGAAGAGTAAAGAAAATTTTGTAAGCTGGTTCACCAAGACATCTGCCCCCAAGGTACCAAATTGAAAATATTTTTTTATCAAACACAGATCTTCTGAATAAATGTACTACTGCTGACTAATCTAACTTACCTTATATCTCCAATGTATTATGTTGGTCCAATTGGTGGGACATCACATGAACTGTTTAAAACACCTTTATTAACACTAGGAATTATAAATTTAAAAAGGTCCCATGGTTTCTTCTTTCACTATTTGGTTTTAGATTGGCTGCTACTGAAAAAATATCAGACTGTGGGAGAGTTTAAACATAAAAGATTGTTTTTTATGTTACCAGCATTCTGTGTTTTGGTTGCATGGTGTATTAAGCTCAAGCATTATCAATTCCCTGCCAGTTCCATTGTACTAATGAAATTCTTATGTTTGGTTTCAGGCTTCATCAGACAGTGGAAGTAGATTCAAACCATTTCAGCCGAAAGCGGGAATGATCATTGCTCCAGCAACACGTAAACACTTGTCACTTGAAACAAAAAAAGTCTTAGATGAGGAACTTAAACTACAGGTATGTATCTCAAGCTAATAACAAAATATCAAAAAACATCCAGTAGTGTTGAGTGTAGCAATCAAACAGTTTTAAGAACATGTATACTACTTTGTCGTAGTGCTACAGAACAATAAAACTAGTGAATAGAGGATCATTCATTGATTCATATTCAAATATACTTTGAATTTGAAAAATAATTCTGCAGTAGTGTAGGTTCTTGAGATAGACTCTTTGAATATAACCAGTTCTGACAAATTCCAGACAAACAAGTTCTCAAATATCCATGAAGTTCTGGAGTCTGATTAATCTTGCCTTTCATTGTGTCTGTGCATTACATATATTTTAAAATAAACTTACCTTTGACCTTGTAGGAAGACCACAGGTCCTATCTGAGAGATCTAGAGGCTAGAAAACCAATTCTCAAATACAGGAAGAGAAAACTGTCTACCATTGAGGAACAGAATGAATGTGATACTGATGAAAAGACATCTGATGGACCTTTAGCAATTGATGAAAACAGCAACTCAAGTGTTGAAATTGTTGAGAAAAAGAAGGACATTTCTTCCTTTGTTGGCCTGAGATGCAAGCTATTACAGTTCCACACAGACTACAGGCCAGCATACTTTGGTACATATAGAAAGAAAAGCTACCACATCTCTCCAAGGAACCCATTCAAAAAAGACTTGGTATAGTAAACCGAAACTATTATTTAATTATTAACAATTAACTATTAAAATTTATGTAATGTCACAGAGATGCTCCTCTCATCTGGAATTCAAACCAAAGAGATTGTTGCTGTCAGTCAATCAATTAATTAATTGATCTACTATCATTTTTCTGTTTACAAGATTAGCATTTAGGCTTCACCTTCTGTTACACTTGCATCTCAAAACAAACCATTTAGTAAACTTGTGGATAGATAATCAACAATCTCCCATATTCTCCAGGACTTGTTGGATTATGAGGTTGACAGTGATGATGAATGGGAAGAGGAGGAACCAGGTGAAAGTCTCTCACACAGTGAGGTAATGATTATGCTCCAAGACAAATACAACTGCAGACTTAGAAGTCCTTGAAAAATAAATTGATAGTGATGGAAAACTCTGCCATAATAAGCTACTGCTTTATTCTAGGCTTATCTGCCATCTTTATTATCCAGGGCTTTATCCACTGGTACTTTGATCAACATGGCCACAGTTTTCATTCTGTTTATGCTGAAACTGGTCAGGGATGTGGGCTGATTACATTCTGATGAGGCATCCTTTTTTTTATCATGATCAGTGAAGTCAATTTTAATTTTCAGGGAGAGGATGAAGGTGATGGTGATGATGACAATGGAGATGATGATGGATTCTTTGTTCCTCATGGTTACTTATCAGATGATGAAGGAGTTGAGGATGGAGATGATGATGAATGTGATGTGAATGAAGAAAAGAAGGTATTAGACTTACTGCTGCCAGTTGTAATTACATATTTCTACACAACAACAAAAATAAACCTGGGGGTTTTGCAGTATTAATATTATTTTTTTCCTCACAGGGAGAGAATCCTGAAAATAAAAGAGATCAACAGCTTGCAAAGGCCAAGGCATGGGAAGCTGCAATGAAAAGAAAGTGCAAGCCAATGAAGCCAATATCACTGGGATGCCTGTGGCTTGAGGAGGCTGAAGTGAGTGTGGTGCTCAAGCAGTTTGCTGCATGCTTACTTGTTGATGGACCCATAAACATTGAAAGCCTGTCTACAAACAGTAAGAGTGCTGATTTCTCTGTGGACACACCAAGTAGTGGAAACACCAGTGGAGCTCTCTATGTACCGGATAAAGGTAATATTCAAAAGTTTGCTAATACATAAGAATAAATGGAGTAAGAAACCCTCAACTGTGAAGCTGGAATGCTTGAAGAGTTGCTTTGAACATAAGATCCAAGCTCAAGCTGATGAAACACAAAATATAAAGCTCACTATTTATGAACTTGCAATTGGTGACTGCGCAAGAAATTGCCTTTTTCTCAGAACGGTGGCTTGGGAGTGGGGGTGAAGCCTTGGATGTTGCTCTGACCTTAGTAATTATTCTCTCCTTTATTTCCAGCAATGCCTGACCTAATAAAGTTGGTTCATGGAAACACAGCAGGTCTCAGCAAGTTGATGATGAAGTTCAGAAAGCATTGGACTTCAAAGTGGCTAGGTAGAGATGTCACAGATGAAGAAGTTGATGAAAAAAGTCCAATTTCCAAAAGACAACTTGAGAAGAAAATTCAGAATATTGCTTCTAAGGAAAGAAGAAATGATAGGCCTCGCTGGTACGTCCACAGTCACATTCTGGAAGCCTATGGCATAGAGAACTTGTTGGTTGATGGATGTACTGGTTCAGATGCATCTTCAGATACTCCTAAGTCTTCTGCGACTTTGCAGGCAAATACTCCCAGTATCATTCAATTTGCTGCTAGGGGTGCAAGTCCTGAAATGCAAAATAACACTCCTAAGATTCAACCAGCAAGTTTATCATGTACTTCAACTTCAAATTCACCCATGGAGATTGACAACAAGGGCTTAACAGGTTTTGGTGGCATTTTAGGTTCTAACGTGGTAGATTTACACTCGCAAGTAGATGGTGAACCCAAAAGCAAGAGTACTGCACCAATCAGGAATAACACTGAATTAAGTAAAATTACTCCTGCAAGTGCTGGCTCAAATACAATTCAAAATACAGAAAATAATTCTACTGAAAATTTTATTGAAACTTTGTGTATTGACTGAAGCTACATCGATGTATATCTTTCATCTATTTTGTACATAGCTAGCTAAATTTGTTACTGATTATTGAGGAAACATAACAATGTTATGTTGGCAGTTGGGTTATGAGGCATTTTCTGTGTGAATGAAATAAGGATTTCTTATTGTTACTTCTTGTAGTCCCAAGATAGAGTTACTGATGAGTTTTGATAGTTATGCACTGATCAATTTGAAGCTTCAACTTCCCCCCCCCTCCCCCATGGCAACCAACAAGCATTTGACTGTCATTTGTATCTGTGGGTGAGGTATTTGAACCTTGCTGGGTGGGATGGGGCATTTGAACTGGGAGGGTCAAGTCTTCAGCATAATACACAAGTTTAATAGAGGATTTAAAGGTAAGGAGTCTGCTTTTGTGAGTGAATGGTTTAGAAATACTATTTTCATCTTTGAATGTTTACAATGGAAAACTTAATGACAAAACCAGAATCTAATACGACTTTGCTAAATTGGAATATGTTTGCGATCACACAAAGCATCACTCATTATTGGGTGTGGCATTTAAACTCAATTTTGGCCTGGGGAAAGAGGGAATCTGAACAAGCCAATTTCCAAAAGTTCAAGTGCCTGATGGAGGGGGAGAGGGAAAGGAATGTTGAAGCTTCAAATTGATCAATACATTATCAACTGTTTGACAACTAATATAAAATGTGCCATGTACTAGGATTTCAACTTACACAGTTTCCATGCAATAAATTCTGAGGATATTTAGGTCATCAGTACAGCATGATCTAATTAACAGTTAATACAAAATTTTATTTTGGAATTGAAAGATGTAATAAAACTAGCTTAGAATAGAAGAAGTAAATGAATTTCTTTTTGGATGATTATACAAATTTTGGTATTTGCAAATGGTGGATTCTACATAAATGTTAACCTCATTTGATCAAAGTTGTATCGATAAGGACTTGCGACATCAACATCATTCCCCCACCAAGTTCTTTAATAAGGAAATACAAATTTCTTCACGCTTACCAGTGTTAAGATTTATTTTTATATTGGCAAAAATAAACACCACAAATAATTTCCAAAATCAAGACTTAATGGTGCACATTTGGATATTGTACAAACATCCAAACCAATTCAAAAAACTTTCAATATCTGAAGTAATTTTTCCTGGATTACCTCACCACGGGATCTTCATTGAACCTTAACATTGAGCAAATTATTTAAAATTTTGTCCTTTTCAGGAGTAAGTTATGGGTACTATGACAAGAAAACTAGCAACACTTATGTCTGATTACTTGTTTTTAATTTTGTAATGAAGTAATTCAACCTTTGACACGTCTTTGTTAAATCCAATTACATGTGTGAGATAGCTACCAGTTACTTAAAATGTTTTGAAGAACAGAAAAAAACTTGGAATATATATCTACATTGTTTTTTCCTTTGAAATTTTTAGAAACACATCATGTCCTCCCCTTTAGTAATCCACTTTCTGAGTATTTGAGGACAAGCAGGAAAACTGGGTGAATTTTATCAAATTGAGATTCACTTGTAAACAAGCTGGGAAATGTCATAAAAAAGGCACCAAAGTTTCCTCTCATAGTTTTACTTGTTTCACTTTGCTTTTTCCGATATATTTATGTTTTATTTAAGTTCCCACTGTAATTATTCTTAAGTAATAAGATGACACTGCAGGAAAAATTTTCTTTGAAGATGAGGATTATTTGCTGTCATTACTTTCTACAAAAACCTTCCCAGTGTACCTTTCCTTTGTGTACTGGACCCTATTTCCTGACTAGTGTCCAAGTATTCAAATGGCTTGGGTTTTAATGTAACAGTCTCAAACAATAGGCAGATGTACAAAAGGTAATGGTATTTCAAAGCTCCCTATAATTTTTATAGCTAAGGGTTAGACTAATACTGAAAATTAATAAGACATTAAAATGCAAGGGAGAAAAAAAGTTCTGTTTCCAGGAATTTTTGGGAGCTTTAAATAGGATGCTTGTTACTTGGCTTGTAAAATAATGTGATGTCTGCAGACATACATTAATTGACAGCCTCTAGTGAACCAGAAATTCCAATATTTCATAACCTTATACTCACGTTTTTATTTACACTCATTACAAACAAAAGCAGTAATTGTGACCTGTAAATAAACTTTATAATGAAAAAGCATAACTGTTGTTCTAACAGAAATACAGTGGAAATATTCACAGCATCCCATATTGTCTCTATTGTGTGATGTACTCAATAACTTAAAACTAGATTGTAACAAAAAAAAATTCAAAAGCTTCAGATTTCCCAGTTCAAATCAGTTTAATTCATAAATGAAACTGTTCAGGTGTGCTTGAATCACTATCTCGTGACCCTCTTGTTTGGGTATTGCTGAGACTCAAGCGGCAGACAGGGCAAGAATCATGCTGAAAAAAGGAGAAAACTTTACATTTAGTATAAAAATAAACCAACTATAGGTATTATCTTTAAGGCAAAGGTTTGAATCCTGTTGAAGTCTGAATTTTTCAAGCTCTTCTTTCTGCTATTTCTTTAATAGGCCATTTCTGAATTACTTTTGGCCTTTTTTTTCAAAACCAGGCTTGGTGCTTTGATTTGCATGAAAATGAGTTTAATTTGCATGTGAATGAAAAATTATTGTGATATGAAAGGATGAGCATCTACACTCGCTTTGAAAAAGAGCCCAAAGATAATTTGGAAATGGGCTATTGCAGTTTATCTACGAGGATCATGCCTTCCTTTGGAGTCATCCACAGGTCAAATATTTAATCTGTTTAATTTATTTGTGATCACCTTATAGACATAACAAAGAACCAATTAAAATTTGCCTTGCTCCCAACATGGTTGTTTTTCTCCTGAAGTGAAATATAACTAATTGTTGATTCTAAATTTTAGCCAAGCACAAAGCCTTTGTCAAACAACAGAAAAAGGAATAACATTATGCTTTTGAGTGTATCATTATATTGGAATTATTAGGATTTTTATACTTCTTATGATTTTTTTAGTGTTACATAGTAATTCTGTATTTTTCTTAAGGGCACACTTAATTTGGAGTGTTATTCTGTCGTGGGTCCCACAGCTTTGTCCTTTGTCTCTCATTCTTGTGACTTCTTCAAATGTATTTCTTCTTCCTTGTCTTATTTTAGCATTGTGATCATGGTGAAAACCATTAAATAAATAAATAATAATAAAATTATATACCTACTAAAATATGTACTCACCATTTTTAACCATGGTTTTATACAACCAAAATGGAATATATGACTACAGGGTAATCTCCTAACATCCTCATCTTTTGAACACTGTTCTTTGCATACAGCACAAAATTTATCAGACTCTAGACAAAAAAAATAAGAAAGAAAAGGTAAAAAATGTTAAGGTACACAATAATATTTGAGGAAGGTGATCCTATGGCACAGCTGTCTGTGAAATCAAAGAGAAGGGATGCTCTGATGGAAACACAAACCTAGAACCTAGTGAATGCTGAAGTGTATTCCTGCTTTACATACCAGAATGGAATAAACCTGTCTAGTAACTGTTATGTTCTCTTACCTGCTGAATCTTCTGTAACTTCTACTTTTTGAAGATCTTCTATCTTTTTGGAATCTGCAGGGGGTGGTCCTGCTCCATCCATCTGGTTTAGAAGCTGTGGAATGGATATTATAATTACTGCTCTGAACTGTTCATCCATCATGAGGCAGAAATTGGCTTCTTTGTGTTAATGCTTTTTGAGATCAGTTTTCATGTTTTTGCACTCACAATGTAGAGTTTGGTTTTGGTATCTGCTGCCATTTTGGGTTTTTCCCTTTATTGACAGCTGGTTTTCAGTTTCACGAATGAAAAAAGGTAATTTTCTTTTCTTTTTTTTTTTATTGACATGTCTCTTGCATAATTTTTTTCATTTGGGATCATACACTAGCCCATAGTTTTTTTCAGTTTTGAGAGATTTTCATTTCATTTTTGTTTTGCTTTTTTTCTAGTTGCAATACTTCCTTTTACTACCATTCTAGTTATTTGGGGTCAAACCAGTGACAAAGTATTAACACTTAAAAGAACTTTTTCTTTTCACTGTTCTCTCACCTGTGTTATTATTGAATCCAATCCCTCTGCACCCCAGGCATAATCAGCAGGGTTCCCATGAAGACGCAACAAGTTGCTATTAGATAAAAAAAAAAAAAAAAAAAGAAGAGTCAGATAAAAAGCTGGAAGATTCATTGTACTGGAGCTTATTGTACTTTGATAGCATGCAGTAACAAGGAGTATCATTATTTCCCCCTGGATAGGACCACAGTCCCTTGTAGGGTTTCCCCTTCCCATTTATATTCAGGGTGGAGAGTGGCACTGTGAAAGAAAGTGTCTTTGCCATGTGATGGAGAGATGTCCATGGGAAAACTTTTGATCAGAGTCCAGTAGGGTAATATAGCCACAAGGCAACTGCCTTGCCCACAAAAGAAACGTACCAAAAAAATGTACAGTGAAGTCTTAAGAATAAATGTCTAACATTAATGTCCCATGTGATATGAAAGACACAGCAGCAGACAAGTAATATCATTGATTCAGGATTATGAGTCTGGCCAATCTTTTTATGTTGTGTTAAGGGCTGATAACTCGTCAAAATAGCATCATCCATGGGTAGTGATGACAATTCTAAAATAAATTGAACTTAAAAGTTGCGTAAATTACATATCACCATCTACTAATATTGAAATGGTTAAAAGATAATAATACTTACAATGGAAATCCCATATTTCCAGATGTTCCTGCTCCATCTTCACTTGTATTACTACCTTGAATAAGTATAAAAACAGCAGCAAATCAAAGAGACACTATGGTGAACTTGTGGATATACTGTGTAGAATATAATGATTCCAATAATCAGAATTGAGCTATACCTTCACAATCATATAATATATGAAAAGATAAATCAAACAAGCAAAATACCTGGTGATGCTAATCCACCAAAAAGATTTTGAAGAATTCTGTAAAACAAAAGAATTACAATATGTAATAGTACTGGCACATAGTACTTCTCAAGATGTTTTAGATCATAGCTAACAACTTACACATCAATTGCTGCAGCAGTTGTGGCATTGGCAGCATCTCCTCTTTCTCCTGGCCTTTGATTGGTACGAATACTTATTCTTGTTCGTGGTCTACGGGATCGTCTCCTTCCTTCATCTAGAGAGTCCAAATTTCCAGCTTCAGTGGACATTATGAAATTAATCATAAATTAATATTACCACTATTTCCTCTGATTCATTAAAGAATAATGCTCAAATGAGAATAATTTTCTATAACCACTTTATATGCTGTAATTAATTTTTTCTTGGTTAATAATTTTTGTAACCAGCTGTGTTGATATTTAGTTAACTTTGCTTTGTATTCGATAACATATCCAAATTTAATACTTATCATCTTTCTAAATTTCTCTTATTACCTGGCAGTTGTCCAAACAAACTTCTGTGAACCAACTGAAAATGAATTGTAATGAAATATTAATAAGACAATAATGATATAAAAAAAGAGTGTTGAGACATGTTGAGGAAAATGGGATTCTCTTTCCTGGGGCTGGCCTGTCTGTAATTACAATAACCAATCTAAGTCAAACTTTATTAAATACATGGGTTGTAGTAAAAGACAGGCACTTCCCTTATTTGGACCTGCAACCTATAACAATACTAAAAAAAGACACATTTTTGTCTAGTCACCAGCCTTGGACAAAGAAAAAGTTCTGAGTCCCCATGAGAAATTGAACTCAGACCTTTGAATATTGTGCTCTGATGCTCTACAACTGAGCCACAGAGATTTTAGAAGGCCATAACTAAGTTCATGTGTGACAGGTGTCCGGCATACTGCTACAGTCTGGAATGTCCATAACATCATGTTTGTAAATAGAATAAGAAATATGTCATATATTGTGTGTCACACCACAGAGGTTTGCCAGATTTCACCAATAAATATTGAGTCGTTGAGCAGTAAAGGCAACATATATGTTCAGTCAATTTTAGTGGATGAAGTCCACATGTACTTCTCACCTCTGCAAAGTGGGTGGCTGGGTCTCTTTCAGCTTCTGCTGTACTTTCTTCTTCTCCATTGCTGTTAAGAGTTTAGCACTCAATAAGTAACTCACTCAATCAGGCTCTTGGGAATACAGTTGGTCAAATGTTTAAACTCTTGAACAAAGGAATTTTGCAAGTTACATATCCAAGCTTAAAAATCACTTCTGCCACCAGTGGGAGTTATACAAACAGACAGTCAAAGAAGAAATTTCCTTTATTATCAATGATTCTGAGTCTTGATATGTTAACCAACCACTGACCATCAAACCTGTGGACTCTGAGCCTCTATATAATGACCAACAACTGACCATAGTACATCTGTGGACTCTGAGTATTAGACTTCATTAGACATTGATTTTTCATTCCCAGAGATCAAACACTATTGAACATATATGTACCAATAGATTATCAAAGTATATTATTATAATCTAAATTAATTACCAACAGTTCCTTCCTCAAGCTGCAATGAAAAATGGTATAGAAACAATGAATGTATTCAGGACAATTTAAAGGGCATGTAAACTCAAAAAACGTTCATTTTCTTTTCACATAGATGTTTAGTAAATATATCAAGTACACCAAAGGTACCATTCGTTTTTTCTCAAAAGTCCATTTTCACTTTGAAAAAGCTCTTCCAAATTCAAAACATTCGCCATTTTGAATGGCGCCATCTTTCCTGTGATGTCATGGGTGGAACTTCCAAAGTTTCGTTTAATAATCGCATGAGACACAGAGTCTTTTCCACAGCCGTTGTTTGCCGGTCTCGTCATGATTTTTTTACTCACAGTTTGCTTCAATATACTCAGTTTTTTCATAATGGTAAAGTGTTGTGTCGTCCAGTTTTGTACTGATTTAAACAAAACGGCATACAATGCAAATATTTCCAAATGATGCAAATTTGAAGCCACAATTTGCGAAACTTGTTCAAATGAAAATAGCCGATTTCGTCGAGCCGTTCAAACATTCTGTTGTTTGTAGCAGTCATTTTTCTTCCTGGTGTTGTACCGACAATTCAGGCCCTACCAGAAGCAAATTATTCGGAACTATAAACAGCTAGCTGTAGTACTGTATTATTAAATCAATGACAGAAACAACTCAAGCAAATCGATCTCAAAATGTAACAAAACAGATGAAACGGAAAACATTTAGCTTACTCGTTTCCGGTGTGAGTCTCTGTGCCTTACTGCTGCCTGTACACGTAATAGGCCTTCTCCAGCACCCAGAAATCGAGGCAAATTGACTAAAACCTGGATACTCAGTGATACAACTTATCTGGGTTTCAGACCCTCGCTCCTCTACTTTTTGCCACAATTGCCCGATTTCCAAACGACAAACACTTTCACAAGTTGTTGGCATTGGTTGACAAGTTCCACACTCGTACCTTTGACAATTTTATATAAAACACCCTTGGAAGCTCAGCAGGTTTAAAAAATTTCTGTTGCATTCTTTTAGATTGTGCCCTTGCTTTATTGGATTTTCATATCAAATACAAGTAAATCACACAGTGAATTAGATACCAGTCTGAGTTTCCGAGGAGGTCGCATCACTGTCAACACTGTGTTCGTGCGGATTGCTTCGGTGAACCCTACGCAGCTCGTATTGTTAAGGACCTGGCCCAGACTCTCCTAAAGATTCTAGATCATCCCCATCGCCGTCATATACTAAGCTAAGGGCATTCGAGTCGCTATCTTCTGAAAAACATCTTCGAACTACCGCAACTTATATGAGCTACCAAACCAGTTCTACTAGGAAATATGTGTTGCACAATATTTTAGTTCCACCACTTACGTCACGATTCTCGCTATTGTTTTTACCGGCAATGGAATTTCAAGCGAAAATGCCGATTTTCTCCTAAAATAAGTCAAATTGGACAAAACGAATTTCAGATTCATTCTCTACGCCACTTTTTACATAGTATGAGAAAAACATGTATTTTTGGGTTTACATGCCCTTTAAGGTAATCATGCACTTAATTATCATTTGTTAACTTTCCTAACTGTTACAATGTAATTGATCTGTTATCATATAGCAACCTACCTGTCACTTAACTGTTCAATAAATTCTCCCTGGCATTGTGAACAAGTAAAATCCTACAAGAACACAAGAAATAAATTTGAAACATAACTACTGAACCAGTCAGCTCATTAGAAGGAAGCTATGTCATTTCTAATTGTATAATATTTATTGCCAAGTATTGATTGATAATTATTACAAGCTATGACCAGGGTTTACTGATTTTTAACAAGTTAGGACTGTAAAATCAAATCCCCTTTTCCATCAGATCTGTATACTTGTTGAAAATTTTAAATTTTTGCATCTTTCTTATACTTTTTGCATACTTATTAAGAAGTAATGTTATCATCTGAAGACAATCTTACACCTATGCCTTAAAACAGCTGCCATCTAAAAAAAACTTGCAGCATCTAAGCAAAAATGGGGTAAATGTAGAGTATATTCCATTAAAATTCCTCTGAATAGTTTCTTAATCTAAATACCAGGATTATATCATAAGACAGATGCTTTTCTGGAGTGCATATCGAGACATGCAAAAGTGAAAATAACCATCCATTACATTGAAAAAAATTAGTCTATGTAATCGATGCATAACTACGAATCTGGACTTCGGTCAAGTACTCCTCGATTACGTCGTTGCTACCAAGAAACTTTTACTCCATTGCACAACACCGTGCTTCAAATTTACGGTAAACGATTAAATTGATTCACAGAAAGTTTCTTCGACAGCTGATGCATAGTTTACACAGCTTGATAGCCGAATTTCCATTTTTCATCGGCTCTGAACAAAAACTTTCGGTAAATCAGAAAAAACAATCGCACAACAAATACGCCTTTATGTGGTACAAACTATTATCGTGGTTTTCGTGGACATGGCGGAAGCGATTTAGTTCACAAAAGGACTCAACTTTTTCCCTTTAAAACGATGGTCACCGACTTAACCATAACTTCAATTTAACACACTCTTATCGTAGCAGCGTTAGCTGACACTTATAATCCCAATAAAGGAAATTTGGGTTGCTAAAACTGATCACTCATTTGATAAAGTTAAAATGGTAGAATTACGGTTCCATATCGAGTAAGTACGTGATTGCAACGCTGATTCCAACGAAAAATCCACTCTTTGCAAATCCATACAAACTAACACTTACTGGTAAATTCAGAGAAACTTCTCGATTGCACTCATGGCAATAAAATCGTTCACTTGCTCTTTCGACTGTGGCTTCGGCCATCTTGAGAATTCAACAGACATTTCTTCCTACCATTTTTGGGGGGAATGACGTCATCAAAAAGAGGACGCTACAGGTAGTCTTACATCGCATTTCAACTTCTTCTTTTTCAGATTTTAGGAACCCTTCCCTAAGACTAACTTATCGAAGCACAATTTCGAGGCTAAAATATCGTTCAAAGGAAGAAAAATTTGTTACCTGAAGAGATTTCACAAACCTCCTTTTCTCTTCCGTTTATTCGTTTGAGGAAACAGCTTCTGACAGGCATTCAGTTCGAAGGGAAGATCGATATGCGGGCGCTGGAAAAGCGAGAATGGGGTCTTATAAAGGCGTCAAAAACTTAGGATCGTTTTTGTTCATACTTTTTTAGTTTGTTTTTTGCTATTTTTCAGCAAGTGCTGACGAATGGAAAGCTGCCGCGCGCTCTTTGATTTGCTTGCAATGAGTTGAACAACCCGGCCGGGGTAGATATCGCACTTGATACAATTTACGACAACCCTGATTCTATTACTATTATGTTTGACGTCTTGAGCGCTGTATAATTTCATTTATAGACTGGAAACGAGGTTAAAAGGTATTTATGTTACCCACTATTTTAAGGAAAATTTACGTGATCCAATAACTTATCTGTGAAATGACGTCAAAAGTTCTATTTTTAGTGATACAGGCAACCGTCACTGTAATTTGATCAACGTAAAAGTGGGCCTTGTGTGAATAAAACTACGTAATAACTCCCAAATTTTTCGTTAAAATTTGCAAAACAATGGATGGATGGTCCTAAAGGTCTCACTAAGGTCTTGAAACTCCGATCACTATCATTATAAGAAGAAAACGTTCATAGCCTCCCTAAAAAATGTGAATAAACAGCAACAAAAATTTTTTATCTTAACTTCCTTGTAATTTCTTAAGTTTTATTTATTAATTTTTTATCCCTACGCTCTTCTTGATTTTTGAACTTTTCGTCATTGTCTGTGTTTGTTCACCTGCTAACAAGCTCCAAGTTCTGTGTGGTTGTCAAGATACAAAGATAACGCATGCGATAATGGTGTCATAGTTCTATTTGATTAAAAAAGCTGTTTCATTCATGGGAATATGCAAATTCTGTCCCCTGTTCAATATATGTAATATCACCATCGAGGAAGAGGTCTGACAAACATGTTTATCTCTGATGCGGTCATTTTACGATTCACGGACAGTTGATTAGCGATGTTAACATAGTCTTGTAAGATTCAGTGCATTTCAACTGCGCGTAACACACAAAAAGATAACTTTGACATCGCAAATTATTCTGGAAATGGCCTAGAAAGGGTTTGATAAGGTACGTTGGTGGAAATTCTCAGATTTTATCCGTTGACTCACTGATTTCTTCATTTTCTTACCCAATGATTTGTTCGAAATTCGAGCTTCAGTTCTTGAAGAAATAATAGCGGAATTTTGTCGACTATCAAAAAGACTCTCGACCGTAAGTAATAACTGTAAATGCAGTTACTAGTAGATCAACAAGAATGAAGCCAACGATTTCGACTCAAGCGGAAAATCTTGACTTCACTATAGAAGTAATACCATCCTCTGAGAATTATGGGGAAAATTTTTATTACACATTTTGTAAAGTAGCCAGATCTCAAATCGAGTTTATGTTAAATCAATGAGTCATTAATTGGGATAAGGTTCGCTTCTGCGCATATTAAATTGCATTATTTCCTTAAGTGTTGGCTCTGTTTGTTTTCTGATAGCTGATTTACAAATTAATCGAGGAGAACTATTTTATGTTTGTAAATTTTAATTTTGTAGCTTTTGGAAATTAAGTGGCCATAACATCATGATGACGGAGGTTAATCACATCCCTCGAGCGTGCTTAAACTATGCTTATCTCATTTTCGGAAAGTCAGCATTTCGAGAAACGTTGTGCATACGGGGAAAAGGTACGTCCTGCTCTGTATTTTTTTGTTAATACGGTTCAAATTTAATTACTAACCTTAAAACGACAAAGGCAAACCTTTCTTTGAAAGATGTTTCTCTGGCTAGCACTATGTCAATGTCTCACATGGTATCAAATGTCAGAAAGCTCAGCAGTTAGCGTCAGTTTTTCAAGTAAGATCCCCTTTTTCTGAACAAGGGGAACTCAGTAAAGCATGTGATATTATAGTATTTCACAGTTGCGTCATTAAAACATATTTTAAATCAGACAGTTCAGAAAGGCAAAACCATAACGTGGTTCTTCTACGGAGTAAGGCTTTAGAATTCAACGAACGCGCCTGCCGACAGAGCTCTAGGTTCCACCCGGAAAAAATGAGATGGCTATAGATGACCGACGAGCTGCCTGAGATGAGCTCATGATAAACGGATAACTACAGAAGTGAGAGCCTATCAAAATACAAGTTATTTTAAATATCTAAATGAAGTCACATCTTGTTGCGTTATCTTCTTACTAAGGAAGTATTTGATGATTGGAATTTGAAGAAAATATTCTTCTCTACAATATCTAGAGGTGTGTTTACGTTTTTCATAGGTAGTTTTTCGGTCCAGCTGGTCTTAAAATAGCTTTAATTGCTAAAGATTTCCGTTGATTATGGAATATTGTCCGATAGCGCGCGGTAAAAGCCAAGATTTGATCTCTGTTAAATGGCCGGTCCTTTTTATATGTATATGTACTAGACCTGATTTGCAATTCTGATACCCCACAAATACCGAACGAAAGACGCAGTGGCTAGCTGGAAACAACTTACTGCAAATATTTAAAGGGGGATTTCTTCTCTTGTCGTCTTCTAAGCAAATTAAATACAGTTTCAGAATCAAGAACGAGGAAATTGCTTTGTCTATGACCTTTTGCACCAGGGCGCGCGTGAACTCAGACTGGAATAAGGTTCGCAAATTAACTATTGGACTGATAAGGAAACACAGCCACAGCCTACAGGAGTGTCTCAATGCCTTTTACGGGTAAATTCTGGCCATTTTACGGCTAAAGGTCAATTTCTCTTCGTTAAGGTTAACAGAAATTTTAAAAAGTAATTTTGATTGTATTTAAAAAGTTAAAGACCAATTCTACTGCTCTAAAAGGCATTTACAACTGATCAGTTTCGGGATTGAAAAAAGACACAAACAAAGTAATACGGTACTAGAAGAATAATAATTAATAATAGTAATAATTTATTAGTTGTATAGCCCTATTTACATGTACAGATCTATAGTGCTTTACACTGAATAAAAATTAAAAACCTTATATATCTAAATAAAATTTACAATAGTAATGGTAGCTAAAAATATATAAGAATAAATTATTTTAATGTAATATATCTGAGTAAATGATTACAAAAAGCTTCATTAAACAGAAACGTTTTAATAGCTTTTTTAAATTTATACAAACACTTAATCATTCTAGTTTCATGAGGAAGTCTGTTCCATAAGTATGGTGCTGCTGCCTGAAAAGACCGATCTCCAAATGTCTTGCCAAATGATGGACACATATGGCATACTTCTTCAGTAATCTTTAGCGACTTGAGCCAAATGTCCTTGTTTTCGTTAATTACTGGGATAAGTGTGTAAGTCGTAACCGACGAGATTCCAAAAGATTTTGACACTTTCAAAATAACACAAAGTAGATTTAAAATATTATAATTTTACGGTAAACTTTTTTTTACGACTAACGGTTAAACTTAATTAATATTTGCCGTTTCACGGATAAAACCATTAAGACTCTTGCATAATTATTGCTGCCGTGATTGTTGTTGTTATTTTTTTAACTTCGGGAAAGTAATACGTTTTCCGTTGAGGGAATGGTGTCGATAAAACACCTCTGTATAGTACTTAACAATTCGAAATTTTAAGTACCGATCTTTAAATTCTTATCAAATTTGAAATTATTATTATCATCGTCATTAAATTTATCGTTAAGTGATGCAATGAAATTTTTAAAGAAATGTCTTAAAATTGTCCTAGTTTATGTCGTAAAATAGGTTGTGTTTAGTAGCTCGTGGTATACGTAGATATCGGATGTGGTCGCGATCCACATCAGAAGTGATCGCATTGAGAGACAAAAGATTATATTTCTCTTTTGAAATTGTCCTGGTTGTTGAAATGCATTAGTTGCAACTTGTTTTCACGAGTCAGTGGCCTTTTCCTGTTTGTCTGAGATTTCACCTCGTGAAAATGCACGTGAGTTATTAGTTACAATCGGGAGCGAAAAAAAATATTCCGTCAATGTTTTTTATCGCAGTTCCACTATAACCGGAAAAGTCTTAAGAAGTTTTTACATACTTAACCTGTGTTGATTTGGTACATGACTTTAAGTAATCTCACCTAGAGGATGATAAATTGCATTCACGCCCTGTGTTTTTCATTCACGAAGTTCTTTGAACAGTTTATCGTGACTAATGAGTGAAACATACCAGCTAAGTAGTTTTACTACTGAGATTGTCAAGTTAAGAGTTTGCCTCCACCCCTACCCCCGTAAGTTTCTGAATCCCGCCGTGACGTCAACGTTTATAGTAGTCGGTTGTTCATTTCGAGTCAATGTTTGACAGTCAGAAGCGATGAGTGAACTATACTCGAAAACAACCACGGACCCTCATCAAAGGGTTGATTTTTTGACAGGATAGTACAGAAATCATTAAGTATTACTTAGGAACTAGGCATGCCAATTTTAAGCGTACTCGGTAAGTGCGAATGATCAATTAGTAGTTGGTAGGCAGATGTCGAATGTTTTAGAATTCCGCTCGTCTCCTAGGGTTGCTGGTTCATTAATTAGAAAACAAAATTATGTTTTAACTTACATTTTAATTTCTTTCTTACGCATGTTCAAATCCATGGACGGAATGAGCAGTTAAGAAGGGCAAATTAAGATCCCTTTCTGGTAAGAAAATTGATGTATCCTGGATTAGATTCGACAGATTCTCGATCTTGAACTTACAACTCCAGAGCGTCTTCGACCCGGAAAGGTTGAGGAATTTTACTTTCGAGACCTTCTGTTTCCGAATGAAACGTTTAAGGAAGTGAATTCATTTCCTTTTGAAGTTGATATGTTACTTTTCTCATTTATATTTCACATTCTTTATGAAGCAAGAACAAATTTTCATTAGGAGACAAGTGACAGTATTTAGTTCATTAACTAGTTTGATTTTTAAGATAGCTGAATTAGTTGCATCGCTGATTATTCACTTTCGTTCATACCCTGAAAACAATTCAAAATGAAGATTTTCAGTTCTTAAGAGTTAAAATCTCTTTTGTTTCTCAACTTCGTTTCTCAGAGATTTTATTGTTATTTGTTTACTTGTACTCAAGAATTTGAATTGCAAAATCTTTAATATTTGAGTTGGTCTTGCTATCAAATCCATTTTGATAAATTATATAATTTTTTGATGTCCATTAGATGATATTCTTGTATCTTTAGTCTTTTTCCCAAATATCTATGCCAAACCTCCATTTGTTTCAATTGTATGCCTAATGTTCTGTTTTCTTGTTGTTGTAATTATTTTTTTAGATAAAACAAGCACATTTGTACGAGTTTTGCTTCAAAATGTTACTCTGGAGACAGAAATTTGTAAGGGAATTTCTCCAACATGGGATCAAGAGTTTGTCTTGTAAGTCTCCTTTTCATGCAAATTTTATTTATCCAAGTCTCCTGATTATTGCCCAGGTCTGTTGGTTAGGGAACAAGTCCTTGACTCTTGGTATATGTAGTCTGATATTTCTCCTGGCAAATGTGGATATCTTTTTCTATGAATGGGGGAAATAAGGTTGTCTCCACTGGAAAAAAAAAACATCAGGCTATGCTTTTAGGAGGGTTGTATTTTTGTGTTCATTGGTATAGCAACTTTCTATTAGCAAAGGGAGACTGAGGCAAAGAAGCCAATCTCAAATTGAGGAGAGTGGGCAGGGTTTGTTATCTTAAATCAAGCTTCTCTGTAATCATGTATTGATCATTGAGATGGCTCGTTGAAGTGAGTTATCCAGACCTATGTGATTTTCTCTGGTAATAACTAGCTCGTACTGTTCTATACACAGTGAGACAAACCAGTTGGACCAGTTACTGTGTTTCCAACTATGGGAGAAGGGATTCTTCAAAGACAGCTTGCTGGGAAGTGCATGGATCCCCTTAATGCAGATCCATCATTCAAATGTGGAAGGAAGTGGCGCATGGATTCAGATGAGCAATGAATCAGCTAAAGGACTGGTGTCGTCAGGCCACTTGCTGCTTGTGGACACTCGGTTTGAACTACCATCAGGTAAACAGAATTATTTTATGAAAGGTTGGAGCATTTTGGTAGGGATAACTAGTCTGGTTCAAAACTCTAACTTAACCCTTTAACTCCCATGATCTGATTGTTAATTCTTCTCTCTAGATGCCACACACTTCCTTGTAATCTAGTTTTTGATCAAGATGACAACTTCTTCCTGACAAATTTTTTCGATTCTCATTACCTGTTTGCTGAACAGATTAGGGAAATTATAAGGAGAAGTTACATGTTAATTACTTCTGGGAATGTAAGGGTTAACTGGAACACAGAGTAGACTTGGAAAATTCAATGTTTTGTGAAATCAGTTTTTGAGGTAGAGTAAGCTTTCAAAAAGGAAAAAGGAGATCTGAGTAAATGCTTGGGCCAGAATTTCAAGTTGATCTGATCTGACTTTTATTTCTGCCTCATTTATCTAATGTGTATGATTCCTAGATTATGAATGATCTCATTGCAAATTAATATACTAGAAAGACAGACGCTTCTTAAAACTGAAACTCAGTCACAGTTGTAGAGAACTATTGTAGTTTAATCCCCTTTGGGATTCTTTACCTTTCTCACTGCAGTATGAATTTCACCAACTTCAATAGGAAACTTGTGGATTTAGCCATAGCCTTTTCAATTGAGTTTTTAACTGAATTAATCCCTAACAGCAACAAAATTCTCTTCTTACTTGCAAAGGACTTTCAGAGGAAGAAGCATTAGCTCTCCAAAATAAACTGGATGCCTTTTATACCATCATGAATCAAGAAATGGAAGTCCTCAAGGAACAAGCGAGGAAAGTGCAACGAGAAAAGGACATAAAGAATTGTAAGATTGATCATTGTTTTGTTATAAAGGAACACGGTTCTTGTAAACAGAACAAGGAGCAGGGATTGGGCAAGGTTAATGATGCCCATCTTTCTCTACTTCACAGAGGACTCAGTTTTATTTCTGAACCAGGGGCCTATATCTCAAAAGTCCCAGTAACTTAATGGACCCAAATCCATATTTAAAAATAAAAATTCAAAAAATAGAGAAGCTGGCTCTAACACCCAAACAATTCACTTTATTTCTTTAGCTGATAGCTTTATTGTAAAATTTTAAAAACTTTTGAAACTTCCATTTTGAATTAACACAGAACAGATTTATAGGCCTGTTAAGTTAGCGGGACCTTTGAGAAGTGGGTCCTAGGGCCACTTTCACACAAATCCCACTAACTTATCAGGCCAAGGATAAAATTTAAACTCTAATTGTAAGAGATTATACTATAGTGCAGGTCTTAGCTCAAACACTAGTTCAGTATGTTTCTTCTCTCTGATAATTTTGTTATTTGAATTTCAAACTGTCAATATCTTGATTTTCACCAAAAAAGGTGAACAAAATTTGTTTTGGAAGTCTGTAAAGTTTCAGGGCTCATAAATGAAATGAGCCCTCAGAGTCACATTTGGGTTTTTTCTCTGGTGAAGGGGAGGAATGGGTAGGATAGTCAGGAGAGGTTATGCGTGACAACAATAATGTGTGAAAATAATGCGTTAGTAAGGATGGTGTCCCATTTATCCCTATACAGAGACTCACACTTGGTTGATCTCCACTAAATTTAATATGTTTTCTATTTTTTAATATACAATTATATTTATGCATACTACTGTAATTTCCGGCCAATTACCCATGGGTAATCTGTTAATTTTTCCACAAACAGTTGGTGCAGGTTATAGGAAGGTGTGGGTAATACAATAGTTTTTAAAGCTTCCAGTGAGTATAGTTTTATTGTGGAAACATTTTCATTTTTGCTACTAGTGAATGAGGATTTAGACAGTGCTTACACAAGTGACGCAGCAGTCTATAACCCTCACTTGGACTCAGACCCAGAAATGAATGACCATTATTCGGATGATGTCATGGATGGGCAAATCAGTGACAGTGAAGCAGACCGAGACAGACTGATGATGAGTTATACTGAACACTTTGATACCAGTATCAAAAGCACCTCTGATGACATCCGTGAGGAACTGGAGGAAGAATTTGAAGAAAGCAGCCTGCTTGAAACTTGTGGTTTACCTGAGAGTCAGCAGGGAGAAGAGGATGAAACTAAAGAGCCTTGCTATGAACACTTAGATCAATCAAGCTGTGACGTAAGTGTCAGTCTTTAAAGTTTAATCCTCTTCCAAGAAATACTCGAATTTGTTCTCTCATTAATATTCAAGGGGATCTCTCTTTTTTATCTATCTGTTAATAGCCCTGTGTTTCTGTTACTTTGTTTGTCTGTCCTTTTGACTGTTACTTGTGCCAGACCACTGTATTGATGACTGTGTTCTCTTGCAATTATGAAGTCCTGGGCCGCATTGTTCAAAGCTGGGTTAATTGAGATAATCCAGAGTTAGTGTGAAATCTGGTTTATAGAACCAAAAGCTTAAAATGAGAATTTGTTATAATTCTTCTTGTTTACAATTTGATGATCGGACCTCTATTGAGTGGTCACTCATGGGGAATGGCAAAGTGACCTGGCAACCATTTAATCCTTTCACTCTTGTGAGTGACAGAGCCAGAATTTCTCCTTACATCATCAATACAATATCAAGCAGACAAGTGATGAGAATAAAGGAAAATATCAACTAGGGAATTACAAGTTGATTCAATACCAAATTCTCCAAAGCAACATCATAAGAATGATATGGCAAATAGTAATGAGAATTACTAATGAGATCATGAATGGGGGTCAAATGGTTAATAAATGATTTAGCATCAAGTATTTATCTTGTAGCTTGAGGAGGAAGTTGAATTCCTTGATCATGATGTGGTTGTTACTGAACGACCAAAAATTAATGCTAAGACTGTGGAAAATATCCCGGAAGAAGATGAGGAGGGTGGGAATGAAGCTCCCAAAAGACACGCAACTCTGAAACGCAAAGGAGGCTTCAAAAAATCACCAGGAACCACAAGGAGATGCTCATGGTGAGCATTTTATTAAAAGTTTAGACTAAATTTAAAGTAATTCAAAGGTAAAAGAGGTAAGAACTTAAGGAGTTGGGTTTTGCTTTAGATCCAACTTCATCAATCAAAGATAATGTAGGGTTACTTACTGTTTACAACTCTTTTACATCCTGTTTTATCCCTTCCACAATTTAATTATCAATTCTCAGCACTTTTTTCTATACTTCCTTGAGAATTTTGCATTTAAATGAGTGACATTCCTACATGGTATTATCTTTCTCCTCAGCATCTTTCTGCTTAGAAATTTAGTGAATTTGTAAAGTAAAATTCATTTTTGCTCACCCCTGGTGTTTTAAAGGTTAATTTAACCCTATTCATATTTGATAAGCTTTTGGCTGTGTATTGCTTTTGGTCAAATAGACTTAATCACGTACTAAGTAGATTGTTTGTATACACCGTTTTAAGTGTCGCATAGTTTAGAAATGATATCATGACTTCCTTGAAGACACAAAGGAAGTCGTCTTTATTGAGGAAATGTGTTTAATTGTGCATATCAAACATGACTGGATACTGAGTGATACATGAATTTTGATCTGGTTTTCAAAAACATTTAATGTGAACCATGTAGCATTGTTAAATGTTTAGTAAATACATTTTGGAGAGAGAAAAAGGGGTCCAGATTGTAACTGATTTCCTACATAGGTTACCTATACATCCAACAGGAAGTCTTTTGCCTGAAATACTCAAACCTTCCAAGAAAAATTATTCAAAGTTAGGATGAATATGGAACTTGTGGGCTATATTTGCAAGGCAAACTGCAAAGTAAACAAATTTAATGGCAAAGGACATACACATAAATTCTGTCCATTTATTTTTTTCTTAATCACTACAACGATTTTGTTGTTTTGTTTTGTTTGATCTATTTTGATCTGTGTCAGTGCCTATGTGGTGATCATAGTACCCATAAAATCTTTGTTTTCTTCACAGGAATGAAAAAACTAAAGAAATTCTTAACTCTGCGAATTCAGGTTCCATCTTAAGAAAACGGAGACCTTCTATTCCCTTTGTGAGTTTAAAGTTTTAATTTTTTTCATTGTGTTATAAAAAGAGTGCCTTAATCCATATCTTTAGTTAGCAACAGTCAAACTGTGTAGTCTTTGATTTTTAGTCCTGGCAACTAGATTGCCTTAAATTTTGCCCACCTTATGTTAATTCAAATTCAAGGTGTGAAATTGCGCCTAGTACAGGCGCCAATGCGACTAAATTTTTCACTTTGGCGACCAAATCCTGAAAGTTAGTCGTCAAATTGGCGACCAGAACGTTTCATCATAACCTTACCAAGAGATATAGTGAATTAAAAAAATTTGCAAGGATGAATCCGCGGCAAACTTCCTCGTTAAGTTTGTTTCCAAAACGTAGCACATGCATCTCGATTGATAACCAGACGCCATCTTGAATTTAGATGAGCCTGAACGTTGTATATCATCCATCCTAGTGTCCACTTTGTAGCACGTTAAAGATCTTTTCCCTAACTTAATTTGGGAGGGTCTATCTAGAGCGCTGACAGCGTAAAGAAAGATTTTGTTTGTCTTTGAAAATGGCGGCCAACTTTTTTTGAATTGGCTACCACTTTGAAGAATTTAGGAGCCAAGTGGCTGTCAGAAAAAAAAGTTAATTTCACGCCCTGTCAATGCTGGTCTGCTCATTTAAATTTCACATTTATGTTTCAAACATTGACTAGCTGCATGGTGAAAGACTTTTTTTTCTAATTTCTTGAGAGGACATCATGGTAGACTTCCTAAGGAGTAGAGCTTTGAAATGCATTGTTTGAATTTTCTCCATTAATGGCCTTTATTCGTCCCCAAAAATGTGATTATGATTTGTATATCCATTACAATTGCTCCTATGTTTAAATTTCATGGTTCTTTGACTCAAAGACAGGAGTCATTATTAAAGGACGTTATAGTATTTCAAGTTCACTGGTGATTTCAAATCATAGATATGACTTTATATTATCAAACTTCTGAAAGAGTATGTTAGGGTTTGTGAGTGAAAAAATCTGAGTTGTTTGAAATTCAAACTGCAGATTTATGTGAATATTTTTGTCAAGTATGCAGATATGATCACCATTGGTCTTGAGATTTGCATAGTATAAATACATACATAACAGTACTGTTGTTGTACTGGTGTTCAAATGTTATCATCAGAAAACATCAAGGTGATATAGTAATGTTACCTTTCTCATGATTATGGTACTGTAATTATAACAAGGTGTTGTAAATATAACAGAGTTTTGTTTATTTGCTTTCTTGACAGCAACCAAAAGCAAGCCCAAAAACGATCAGAAAACCCCACATAATAATGTCCCAGAGAGCTCATTTGAATGATGAAGAGCTGGTATGTTGAGGAGTGGATTTTGAAATTATTATTAATTTGTGACCAGTGATAAGGTGGATAATTTGGTTTTTAGTGATTTGTGCAAACAGGCAGAACTATTCTAGTGATTATATTGAACATTTTTAATATTTTGAAAATTCTTTTCTAGAAACTTCATGTTTACAAGAAGACTCTTCAAGCACTTCTCTATCCCATTTCAGGTATTTTGGGTTAACACTTTACACCCTGATATCAGTGTGCATATTCTCCATACTGTTCTTTATACATTTGCCAAGGTGCTGACAAGGAGAATTTGTTGAGCGATCAAAGGCTTTCATTGGTGATCATTTCCTTTATTCTCATGACCTTAATGTGTGATTCGGGCTGATATTGTAGGGAGATGCTGGTCACTCTCAGGGTTTAAAGGGTTATTAAATGTTATGATAAGATTTGGTGTTTTTCTTGTATTTGTTTGTCTCAATGTGGTGTTGATATAATTTGCATTGTCTTGTAGACACCAAACCTCACAAATTTGAGATCTGGTCGACTCAAGTACCAGCGTATTGCTATGAGTGCGAAGGACTGCTCTGGGGTTTAGCCAGACAAGGGCTTAAGTGCAAAGGTGATATTTCACATTGCTAGCAATGGCAGTACCGACTGATAGTGGCAATACTGTCCTGTAGACAGATAATCAATACTGACCTATGGACAGATAATCAATACTGACCTATGGACAGATAATCAATACTGATCTATGGGAAGATAATCATGTAGCTGAGTTGTGAAGCCATGACAATGCTTTAAATATCTCTCAAAAAGCTACTGCAATCAGTGATCAGTTAGACACAGACAAATTGAGATATTTGTAAATCAGGCAGATGGTTTGTCAGTGAGACATTATTATATTCTAGGGAAAGGCTAACAAATTTCTTTATTTTAGAATGTGGAGTAAAATGCCATGAGAAATGCAAGGACTTATTGAATGCTGATTGCTTACAACGTAAGTGTTGCTAGATCTTTAATTTTTACAAAACATCATGATTTTATTTTGTAACTATATAGAATCAATACACCGAAACTGTGGTGAATGACATCTGGCTTAGAGACACACAATTACTTGATCACAGGTCTGCTCCTCCCAAACAGCATGTGAATACTTTTTCTTTCAGGTGCTGCTGAAAAATCAGCTAAACATGGTACAGATGACAAGACACAATCTATTATTGTTGCCATGAAGGCAAGAATGGAATGTAGAGAGACAGAAAGACCTGAAATCTTTGAGCAAATCAGGTGCATAGATGTTAAGTGTTTTTTAGGATTAACCCAATTATATTTTGTAGCAAACAAAGAAAGAAAGGGCTCAAGAGATGTTGACATTCAGTTCATTAAATTGAATGATTATTTTTCCTGATTGTTTTACATGGAAATTTCATTTTAACTTTAGTGAAGTGTTTCGCATGGAACCCAAAACACATGCTGGTCACATGAAAGCTGTCAAGAATTTGATCCTAGATGGAACATCAAAGTGGTTGGCTAAAATATATATCACTGGTAAATATAATAAAACAACTTTTTCAATTGGGACCTTTCTGGCTAACTTGAAATAAATTCCCCTTTTGATTTTGTATTACCTAAGACTCACAGTACTTCTGATCGATTTGCATGTAAGTTTGGAGGAGTGCATATATCTGTTTGAAGTAAATGCTGTAGCAGGGAGAAAAGTTACATTATAGCTGGAGAATTCTCCAAACCCCACTTGTGTTTTTCTCTGCTTATTGATCTGTGGTTGTTACCAGTGGTAATGATTGAAAGCTATTTACACTCATCAGTCACTTCTGAAACAAGTCAACCCACTGTGGTGTTTTTTCTTTTTTACCAGTTGTCAGTGCACAAGGACTCATTGCCAAGGACAAAACGGGTCAGTTGGATAATGTGTGCTTGGTCAGATTTAAATTATTTTTTTGTTCTGCTGTTATTTTATGGAAAACACAGTCATTTCCTTGATTTACTGAGAACCACTTTGACACCTTTTACATTCTTTAGAATTACATCATTCACCCTTCAACAGCAGCAGCAGCATTTTTTCCATGTGGCTCATACCAGATCTAGAAATTATTGCACTCCATAGTTGCTAAAATAGAGTAATTTTCATTTGTCAAGACTTGTAAATGAAATAAAGTAATATTTTATTGATATTCTTCATTGTTTTGTGGGTCCTAGGTACCAGTGACCCTTATGTCTCAGTTCAGATTGGAAGAGCTAAGAGGAGGACAAAGACCATTCCCCATGAACTGAATCCAGAATGGAATGAGACATATCAATTGTGAGTTAACTGACTAATCATTTAACCCTTTCACTCCCAAGATCTAATTAGTAATTCTCCTTGCTATCTGCCATACAATTCTTATGATGTTAGTTCAGAGAATTTGGTATTGGATCAACTAATAATCCCATGATTAATATTCTTCTCTATTCTCATCACCTACCTGCTTGATATTGTATTGATATTGTAAGGAGAAATTCTGTCTTGGTCACTTGTGGAAGTGAAAGGGTTAAAAGTTAATTCCTACATTTCCTGCAGTGTGCTCAACAATGCCAAATGTTTTTATACTCTTGCAAGTAATTTGTTTTCCTTATTTAGTGTACTAAATGGCTGCAAAATTATTGCCTTCATTTGCTTGAACATTGAACTCTTATCAATAAGATAATAATTATAAAATACTCTGAAATAGGGCTAGGGTTGTTTGTGGTTGTTTTTATTAAAATTTAAATTGACTATGAGGTTGGACTATTTTTTACCTTTTTCTCTGTTTTTCCTTTTACAGTGAGTGTCATAACTCTTCTGACAGAATTAAAGTGCGTGTTTGGTATGTAAAGAATGATGACAAATAAATGGATGAAATATAATGATTAACAAATTGATTTCAGACTTGAAGTCTAAGTGCATGTTCTGTATTGTGCCTTCAGTTGAGAACAAGTGACTACCAACCTGTAGCACCGGGAAATTGGATATTCTACCACATTCAACTGTTTAGAAGTATTTTAGTGCCTAAAAAAATACCTAACTGTGACTTTGAAAAAAAAAAAACTGCAAATGTGAAAATACAAGCTGTAGCATATTGTTAGTAGTTTACAAAAACAAGACTCTGACCTATTTCTGGTTCCTTCTGATGGCAGGGACGAGGATGATGATATCAAGGCGCGTGTGAGATCAAAGCTGATCAGAGAACCTGATGACTTCCTTGGGCAGACAATTATTGAAGTTCGAACACTGAGTGGAGAGATGGATGTTTGGTATAATCTGGGTAAGAAGAAGACTCTCTCTTTCTCTCTGTCTGTCTCTCTCTCTGAATATTTTTGCTGTTGATTAAAGGTAACCTTTCTTATTTGTCTCATGTAGAAAAGAGAACAGATAGATCTGCTGTGTCTGGTGCAATACGTCTTAGAATCAGCATTGAGATTGAGGGAGAGGAAAAAGTTGTACCATATCATCAGCAGTACACATGTCTTCATGAGGTAAATATTTACAAAACACTCTATTTTGTGATTTCTTTAAAAAAAAAAAAACAAGAGGCGCAGAAGAAGTAATTTTTATGAAGCTTTTGCTTCCCTCCGAGATATCTTTGAGTTGGTAATTTACATGTATTTCTGTCGTTTCTTTTCTCCTGTAGAATATATTTCATTTCTTGTGTGAGAAGAATAATGGGCAAGTTCCACTTCCAGTGTCGAGCTCAGTAAGTTCTTATTTATGAATGCTGTTTTATTTACAAGTATGAAGGGATTATTTTGTAGAGAAGTGTTGGATTAAGAACTGGGTCTTCTTGACATCATTCTTACTAATTTTTTCCAGAGAGAAGATCCATGGAAAGAGTTTTTCCTACCACCAGCTCTTGAAATAGTGAATGAGTTTGCAATGCGATACGGCATTGAAAGTATTTACCAGGCAATGACGTAAGTTTATTAGTCTATCAGTTAGTCACCCCATTGGCTAGTCAGTTAGTCAGTCAGTCAATCAGACAGTCAGGCAGACAGTCAGTCAGTTAGCTAGCCACTGAGAGACAGATAGTTAGTCTTACAACCAGCTATTGAAATGATGAGCGAGTTTCCAAAGCGATACGGCAATGAAAATATTTACCACGCAATGACGTAAGTTTTTTAATCAATCAGTCAGTCAGTCCATGGGCCAGCCAGTCAGTCAGTCGTCAGTTAATTAGAGACACAAATAGTTAGTCTTCCAGGAAGCCAGTCAGACAGTCAGTGAAATATTAAGTCGGCCCGTCACGTAATCACAATGTTGATCAGTTAGGAGGATATCAGTCCCTGAGTTAGTTTATATACCAGAGCCCAGTTGTATAAAGGGCAGATAACGCTATCCAACGGATAAATCGCTATCCGACGGATAAGTGAGAGAGAAACGTATGGTGTGATTCACCGGATAGAGTTTTATCTGGTGAATAGCGTTATCCAACCTTCGAACAAACGGGGCCAGTATGACAGGTAGTCATACAGGTCCAACAGGTTGTTAGTCGGATAGTCAGCTAGTCACCAGCTTGTCTTATTCACGTGATTGTTGCTAATGGTTTAATTCTTTCTCATCAGTCACCTGTCCTGCCTAACGACAAGCTATATGTGTCCAGGTGTCCCAGCAGTCATCAGCAGTCTGCTAGCCAACATCAATGCCTTCTTTTCTCACACTACAGCTAATTCTGCCACATCCGCTTCACACAGATTCACTTCCACTAACTTTGGGGTAAAGAAAGATAATCGATAATTTAGAGATAAGGCCTTGAATAAGCAGAGCTTGGCAAAAATTGTGTTTGCGAGATTTCGTGCTTCTTTTGCTTTGTCCCTCCAAGTTACTACCCTAGTAGACAGAGAAAAATTTATTGACTCTTTTTTGGCCATCAGAGTTGGTCTTTATGATTGTTATCAAATCATGATAAACTCGAGTTTTACATTCTACATCTGAATATAGTGAGGGTTTCTTCCTATTTGTTGTAATTTCAACATATGCAATTCGTCGATTTTTGAATTAATTTTCAGAGTGAAAAGTTTGTGAAGATTGTGGATCACCTCTACAATACGTTAAGAATTGACATTGCAAACTATCGGGTAAGATTTAAAAAATTAATAATTAAAAATAAAAATATAAAAAATTACAGTGAACAACACTATTAATAAAGGAATTGCCACGCCCCTAAGGTGTGGCTTCGTAGCTCAGTTGGTTGTAGTGCCCAACTAGTATCTGGGAGGCCTGGGTTCGAATCCCGTCGAAGCCGGATCTTGTTCAAGCTTCTTTTCTGCAGTTGCTAAGTTTTATTCCACCTGTGTGGATCATTTCTTTTCTTGATTTTTATCTGCAGGTCAAATTAAACATATTTTATTAAAATTTGTTATTTTGAATATTACACAAGTTTCGCTTGAAACTCCCGTGATTAATTTACAGACAAACTTTCCATCGTCAAGTACGGAGAAGTTAGTCGATTTAAAGTCATCAGTGGATCTATTGACAAGTGTCACCTTTTTCAGAATGAAGGTTAGTTCATATAGTAACAATGGTTTTAATCTTGATTATGAAGAAGATTAACAGCGAAAAAATATAAAGTAATTATCAGATCCTAAATTGAATGATTATTGTTAAAGCCTTGAGGGAGATCACCATAAAGAAAAATTATTTCTGGTTGTGACATAAGTGAAAATTATTTATTGAGCACCTACACCGGCCTCAAAGGGTAGCAAAGAGGGGGTGGGGGTGGGGGGAAACTGATCCCGTCTGCGCACGAATTTCAGAAAAATTCACGCGTTACGTGTACTTTAAATACTTTGAACGGTAATTCATGCATCATGAATTTCAAAGGAAACTTGAAATCTCAGCTTACTACGCCATTGTATGGGCGTCACTTATTAAGTTTGGACTTAATCACGCGTTACGTATAAACCCTTTGGCACCCTCGTTATACCCACGATGAGATTGCGTGGCTTTCGATAATGAAATATTTTTTAAACATATTAACAGGTACTCAACCAGCGGCCTACTAGGACAGCAGAAATTGTGCGCGAGTGTGTCAAGGTAAGCAGTAGTTGTTACGGGGACTGTGTCAATAATACAGATGCTATGCTATTACCTACGAATGGACTCCGACAACTCCTAACATATTTAACACTTTACAATCATCTTCATTACAGAACTGTGTGAAGGGAAGTTATGCTTATCTTTATGCAAACTGCGCTGAGTTGTACGACAGAGAGCTCGCTTCAGAAAGCTCCTCGTTAGAACCAAGTATGCAGGCTGGACCCAAGAGCTTGGACTTCTGGCCAAAGTTGATTTCACTGGTGGTGTCTGTGATTGAAGAGGACAAGTGTACTTACACTCAAGTCTTAAACCAGTACGTGATTTTTGCAGACTACAACCGGCACCTATTTCCCATTTTAGTCCTTTGCGTGATTTAAAAGAAATCAGGAAAAAAAATTAAGTTGCATTGTGGCGCCAACTTAATTTATTTGCTGAATGATTTCGTCACGCAATGAACTAAACTGAGGAAAAGGAGTTACTCGTGGCCTAGTTTTTCTCCTTTTTTTTTTTACATATCTTTTCCCAGATGTTTGACTTCCCAAATGAAGTAATTAAACATTTGACAATGAAACCTTACTGTATGATTCTTCGTTTTAAAATCTATTTTAGGTTTCCCACTGAGCTTAATGTCGGCGAAGTCAGTGCACAGGTGTTTTGGGACATGTTCTGCTCGGACCTACAGGATATGTTAAAAGGTAGTGAAGCTGAATATACAAGTCATTTTCATAATACATCGTTTTGGACGTTAATGGTACAGGCGTGTCATTAACCCCAAGGTAGCGTTATGATTTTTCTTCGTTGTGGTCTTCTTTTCCAACGTACATGAACTCCATAGTTAACTGGTGCTACTTGGCATTGCTTTACCCTAAGCCTTGGAGACTAAGGAAAACCTGTGGTCCTTGTTTGGTTGAGTACAGGTGGCTTTTAAGATAGAAGCCTCTTTGAAAAATATCCGGTCAAATTTATATTTAAATGAGATAATTACTGAATACTCAATTTTGTTTTTCGCAATATTTCCAGAGCACAGCTTAAAGCAGCAGTCTCGATGGGGCAGTGCTGATTATATGAACCTTCACTTCAAGGTAAAACCGTTATGACAACACGACAATAGGCAAATCTTCATTACTTAGTGATTATTAACCCTACTAAATAATATGAAAAGACTTCATTCAAAATGAATGTTTGAAAATTTTATTACCTTCCATTTCTTGACTCTGTATCGTGATGATCTCATATGGACGCTTCAGGATCTTTATGATTTCAAGAGAGTTTATTAATTGCGAATTTAAAATTTTGCACCATCATTAATGTAATGACAAATTCTAAAAATATTACAAGGAGCCAATGAGAAACCAGAGCAAATGCATGTAACAATTAAACTTCCTCAAGCGCGGGTAAACGCGAATGACAAAGTCGCGGTCAGTTTTGAGTCTGATTGATCAAGGAGGTGGCGTGAGTTTTTTGGATCAATCATTGTTCTTACAGGAATTTTATTTGTTTTAGGTTAAATGGTTCTACCATGAGTATGTCAGCATGTGTCCAGAAAACAAAGGCATAGTTCCAGAGTTTCCCAGGTAAAGTGTGGCCATCCAGAGTGTGCACTTCTTCATGACAACGTGACTAATAATGAAATTTTGGCTTTTACAGCTGGTTTGAGCCTTTTGTGTCTCAGTGGCTGACAGAGAACGATGAAGTGTCGATGGAATTTATGATTGGAGCTCTTGATAGAGACAAAAGAGATGGAGTAAGTAAAAGGCGAATTTAAACCTAGATATCCAGACCAGACTAAGAACAGACTTCTATCAACGGAAGTCAACAGAAACTGGCGCTCTTGTTCACAGTATAAACGTGGGCTACGAAATGAACTGAACGACTGCATTTTACCAGCACATCGAAATTGAGCTATCAGAAGTGACGTATGCTACTTACGTCTTGCGTCCGATGACGTCACAAAAAATACTGACCAATCAGATTTCACGACGACGACTTAAAATATTCGACTGGCAAGCAACTCCTCACGTGACTCTGGTGATGACAGGTTGACGACAGGTCAATCACTCCCGACAACAGGCCTTTGAAGATCATCTCCCACCTGAATGATTAGACTACACGATTGAGGACAAAAGTGAAATTGAGAATTTAATGCAGTTTCCATTCTTATATGGATTCTTCTTACTTTCTATTTTGTTAACTTGAACCATTCTGAAATTTGTGTTGGTATATTTGTTTCATTCTTTAGTTTCCTCCGAGTTCTCCTCACACTTTGTTCTCCAATTCAGTGGTAGATATTTTCTGCTCTTTGAATCAAGTAAGTCGTTTTCCCTACATCTTGCCTTTTACTTTAGATGTTAAGTTTTTGGCTGCCATTAACTAATTGTTTCAAGTTGTTTAATGAAGAACACTTGAACATTTAGATGTGTACAAAAGCTGCCGTAGCTTTAGCATTTCCTCTGTGAATTGATCGCTTTGCTATTTATTCGTATGTTATTGTAGATACTGATGAAATACCAGGATTTTTCCTTTGACTAAAAAATCATATCTTCATCGCGCGCAGTGAAGATACTATTTTTATCTTTCACCATATTGGTGTCGCCATGGTTACTAACAGGATTAGCCAATTACAAGAGAGCTTCCCGCTCAAGCGCGCGGCCGGTTCTTTTGAAATTTCATCAGTACAAATACAATAAACAGAACATTACATAGCCGCTTGAAGATACGAATTTTATCTTATCGAGCTGAAAGTATCTCTCACGAGTTAGCGAAGCAAACGAGTGAGAGATACTTTCAGCACTCGAAGATAAAATTCGTATCCCTGCGCGGCCATGTAATATCCTTTTTTTTTGCACACACTACAGAGCTTTGAGATTGTCAGGAAACTTGACTGCCCAGATCCAGAAATCCAGACACGCTACGTCATCAAGTTCACTATGGTAAGCGAAACATAAAGATATTTAATCTCAATCGGAAGACGTTATGACGTTTTGATTGTCAAACAAATTCTCTTGTCAGCACCTTGAGAAATGTATAGAGAACAGTTTGGAGAATATGTATGCTGATATTATGGTGTGAGGGATAAACTGGCCGTTTTAACACGCAGTCTAACATATCCTTTCTTTCTTAATTTGCAGACTGTGCAGAATGTGTTGCTTCAGTATGCTGAAAGGATAAATAGAGAGTTCAGCGTGTGGTGTGACCAAGGAAAAACGGCCTGCATTCTGATGAACAACATCCAACAACTACGAGTCCAGTTGGAGAAACTTTACGAAACTATGGGTGGAGGGGGAAAGGTAATTAAGCGTGATATCTCTTATGTTTTTTAGTGAGGCTGGGAAGATGAGACGAGAATTGCATTCTAGCTCTTTTGAGCGGACTGCTATCAGAATGCCGAAAATATTCCTAAAGGCGCAGCAGAAAAGTGTAATGACATACCGGTAGTTCTTAATGTCATGAAAGGATTCTCTTTGCCATTCGTGCATGGAAAAGCGGTCGTTTGAGAAAGCAGCGCGAGATTTCTGTATTGATTGTAAAGCAAAGTAAAGTAAAACCAACGGACTCCTGGATTTCTTTCGACACTAGATTGAGAATTGCTCTCTCTGATTTGGAAAATAAAATGTTCATGCAAGATTTGTATACTGATGTTTCTTTCCGTAACATAGCTTTCCCCAGAATGCAGTGAGGTCTTCAAAGAATTGCAAGTTAAGCTCAATCTCACTTTGGATGAACTTTGTGTTCTATTTGTTCGAAGGTAAACGTAAATTTAAAACTAAACCCTTTAACTACCAAGATCTGATACACATTTCTTTGTATATCAGTTATAGGAATTTGATGTTAGAGCAAGATAACAACTTATACCTGATGAGTTTGAGTATTCTCATTACCTGTTTGCTGCGTAATGTATGGATGTAAGAGGGAGAAGTGATATGTTTTAAATCACACCTGGGAGATCACTGTTGGAACCAAATTCAATGTTTTTTGTTTGTTTACTTTTTATTTAGGGTAGCCTTTATTTAATACATTTATTTCCGGTTTTTTTCCTGCAGCTTCGATTCCACAATACAGGAAAGCGTCAAGGGTGTGGGAAACCTGCTATTCAAGTAAGGAGACACTCAAAATTTATCTTTCATTGTCGTTTTTAGTCTTACAATTCACTTTCCTTGGTGACTTTGATGTAGTATATCAGTTTAGACTGTTTTGGAAGACAAAAGACTTTGTTGCTGGACTAATTTTTGCCTATTTCTTTGCAGTCAATATTCTTCTCGTAACAATGTGTTATAGAAGTTTGCAAGCCTTTTTGTTAACCTTAATATTTTTTCTCACTAATTAATGCCTTCACATGTACATCTGTTGTATACCAATAAGGTTCAGTTTATAAACCGTTTGACAGTTTTGAGCGTTCTACGATTTCTTTTTCAGGATCAAAAGTACGGGAAACTTTAACCCAGCTTTGCCAAGTTCTAAAAATGTTGTCGTTAATGATTCCGAATCAATTCTTCAACCGCTGCTTGGAATTCTTGAAGGAAGGTAAGAAAAGAGAGTAAAAATTCTGGAAATGCCTTTTGTACTGACAAATAGAAAAAATGAAAAGAAAAAAATAGGTAACCAACTTGGAATAGTCTCGGCTCAATAGTCAGGCTGCAGTTGTTCGAGAAATGGATAACGCACCCCACTGGATAAATCACTATCTGGCAGCTTGGTTTGGCAGTACGTTTTGTCAACACTTATCTGCTGGATAGCGATTTATCCTTGGGATAGCGTCATCCGCCCTTGAACAACTGGGCCAGATATCAACAACTGCGTACACCTTAACGTGGGTTTTTCAAACCTTACTCGCTGTCACCAGCAAGTCCTATCCAGGACCATTCACACCCGATTCTTCAGACCACACGACCGAATAAAATTGGTGTTACTTATGCTGACTTTGTTCCTCACAGCTTGGAAATGTTTTACAATTCATGCGAGAAAACAGTACTGAAGAGGGTTCTAAAGGTAAGTTGTTTCATTGCATTTGTCTACCAAGAATAACATAGTTCTTCAGCAGTAAATCGCACGGTTTTTTCGGAGTGCCTTCTCGATCATCGTGATCATAATTGGATTCATGTAATCTCTTACAGGAATTGTGGAAGCTTGTTATGGTAAACATCGAGAAGATTATAGTCTTGCCTCCTCTTCCAGCTATTACGGTAAAGTTACTGGTCGACTTATCCGCGATTTAAGCTGTTTTCATACATTTAGTAATCTTCAATTGAGTGTCGATAGTATTTCAGAATTGTTTTGGTTTTATTTTTCTTCGCTCCATGATTGGTCCAGAAAACTCGTGCCTCTTTTTCAACCAATCAGATTCAAAACTAAACCAAATTGCGTCTTGGTTAACAGCGTTTTCCCGCGCTTTAGACAGTTAACTTGTATTTACCTTGAGTTCTCACTGGCTCCTTATGGTATGTCCCTTGATTCTGATTGGTCGTTGTGACTACTATGGTTTATGTTTTAGGACACTCACTCAAACTTAGTGCTATTTTCCCTTTTTTGGGGTGAAAACATCCAAAAATTTCTCAGAAGAAATTTCTCAGGTTGCATAGGTTGCAACAAATGAAAACCCTATGTTTGGAGAAAGTTTTGGCACTTCACTCAAGACACGAGAACCTCGCCGGGTCAAGAAGTTGTGTTTGTGGGCTCTGACAGTGCCACTCAGGAGTATAAATCAATACCGGAAAACTGACATGAAGACAACAAGAATTGTGGGGTGTAGGGGAGGGGAGGGGGTGTCCTGGCTTGTATTAGCAGCTAATTCAGAAGTAGTACTTGTAATGATTAAGGTGTTTTTTTCTGATACGCAGGAGATGAGTGGAATCACCGGCCAGTCTGACTCCAGAAACATGAGCCTTAAACAATGTGCCGTGCTGGAAACCGCTCTTCTAAAAATAAAGGTAATATAATTAAGAATTTATCACGGCGAGTTGGTTTTTATAGTCAGATGCTTTTGTTAATGTTGGTTGATGAGATAGATTATTGAATTTTTTCCTCTTTGTTCGTCTATTTCTTTGCAATAAAGGATTATTTCAATGCTTCTGGGAAAGGACTGAAAAAGGCGTTTTTGGACAAGTGCGCTAACATGCATTCTCTGAAGTCAGCCTTGTCTTTGTACACCCAGACCACCGATTCGCTTATTAAGGAATTTGTGAAGAGCCAGAACTCCCAAGGTAAAGATAATTTGGTGTTATCATTTGAGTGTATAATGTAAATTTGCCACAATGAAGAGTTTCTATAACTAACGCTTCCAGCGTTTCCCTTTTTGGCCCCTTTGTTAGAGCAACGACCCAGACCGACGCAGCACGACAGTTTCTTTAGAATCTTATCCCCATGACTTCCGAATTTAGGTTTGTTGTGGGTTGATAGAGGTGTGTTTTGTATGTTTGGAAATGAATATAGTCATGGAACCTGTTGGTGCGTCGGGAAGGAATTAGTCTAAGATGTTATATAAGGAAGGGAGGAGGGGTGGGTTGGATAGGAAAGGAAAGGGGACTTAGGAAGAAAGAAAGGACGATTCAACAAGTAAAGGAAACGAATGAGAATGCCATCAGGGCAACGTATCGGACCAGTTAGGAGAGATGGGTATCCCTTAATAACATCTGTTGCGATTTCACGCGTTTTTAGAGGATCCAGGAGTTGACGACCCAGTGGGAGAGGTGTCAGTGCAAGTGGACCTCTTCACCCACCCTGGGACAGGAGATCACAAGGTTACTGTCAAAGGTACTGAGAAATAAGGAAATACTAAACCTCAATATGTTACTCCTTTTTCTGATGACTTTATTTTGTGATAGAAAGTATTAAATTTGTTCGTGTGTTGTTGTATTGCAGTTGTCGCTGCCAAAGACCTCAGGTGGCAGTCACCTGGTTAGTAACTTTCTGTTTTAACAGCGGATAGTTTTTTAAAGTTACTCTACATTCACCATGTCACACAAATGGAAAGGAAAGTTCGAGGTAAATGTTGTTCCTGTTTTGTTTTCAGGAATGTTCCGTCCGTTTGTGGAAGTGAACATTGTTGGTCCCAGTCTCAATGGAAAGAAACGGAAGAATTCCACCAGGTCGAAAAACAACAACTGGTCTCCGTTATACAACGAAACATTTTTCTTGTAAGTTGGAAGGAGAAGGTCTGAGTGCGGGAAGTTTTTAATGTAGGAACCAGGGCAGTTTTCACCGGGGATGTCAATTGTGTTGGTTGTGCTTTACTTAGCTCTCTGATTAGTCGAAACTAAGTCGAGAAAAATTCCCTCCACCTTCCATAGCATTTAGATTCGAAACTCTAACCAATGTCGTCTTGATCTCTCCCATCTTCCCGCGCTTTACGCAGTCAACCCTTTTTCTTTGAATTCTCATTGGCTCCTAACATTTCCCTCTGATCTGATTGGCCGGTTTGTTTCCTTTGAGATTGATTTCACGCCACTCAATCGAAAAGCCCTTTATGTGCTTAGCTAACCACCTGTTTGCATTTGTTTCCAGTCACTTGGGCAATGAAGATGAGTTGGATTCGTATGAGCTTCAGATATGTGCCAAGGACTACTGCTTTGCTCGGACAGACAATCTTGTAGGTATGACAGTGCTCCACTTGAGGAACATTGCTGAAATGGGATCATGTGCCTGCACCCCGGCCCTCGGACGCTATGTCCAGATGGATCCCAAAGGTTGGACCATTTTAAAGATTCTGTCACAAAGAATGAACGATGAAGTCGCCCGTGAATTTGTGTTGCTTAAAAATAACAGAAGATCAGAGGGTTTTGATTAATTGTCAGGAATTTATCGCTAAATTATAAGATTACCTATGCTCGTATTTATTTATCATAGTTTTGCCGTAAAACGATGTAGACAAAATTGAAGCCCAATGTTATGAATTATTCTGTAAGTTTCAGTTATGTCTGATATTCGGATGAATAGAGAAATTTTGGAACTTACTTAATAAATATATGCTGGCCATAAGAATTTTTTTTACAATTTAATATATAACATAACCGACAAAATAGGACAAAAATAAACAGTAAATTGATTCCTATTATTGAATTTATTGTTTCATTCATTTAAAAGTCATGATTTGTCTGATTGGATTGCTCCTGTGTGGACGTTATTTCTGGAAAGCATGGAAGTTATGTAAATATTTGCGTAGTGCTAACTTATGATAAACATGCTAAGGGAATTTTTGGCGGATCTTCAAATATTTGATGGCATCGTAATGTCGTAAACTTCCAGTATTGACATTGGTTAGGTGGAATGTATTTAAATTGTAACTAGAATGTAGTTGAGATTTAGAGAATTATCCTAACATTTCCTCTTATATGTGAAGTATCCTTCATATTAAGATAGTTCTGCAGTACTTAAAGCTGATTGTATAAATTTGGAAAAAGTCTGCACAAAGTTACGAAAATGACTGTCGATAGTAATCTGGGATAGCGTTGGTTTTGTTTCATTACGGTCTCTGATTAGTCGAGAAATTTCACTAGACCCTCTCAGTCAATAATACGTTAAAATAATGGCCAATCAGGAGTTGGTTACTTTTGCTTTTTGATGGGTGGAGGTTGTGGTAGGGTAGGTGTGAAATCACGCGAGGGAATGTTTCCTCTCTCGCAGATGCTCGCACAAGTTGCGCTTTGGTTTCACACCCCAAAAGTGTTCTCCATCGTCAAGTTCTGATTTACAGGAAATTTTGTTAACGAACTGCAGGTTGGCAATTTACTGTGTAAGAAACGTCGCCCATGAAAATTATATAACTAAATTCAGGAAAAATGAATCTTGAAAGTGGTTTTCATTGTCACTCACGCAACCACACCTTTTAGACGTATGGCGTGTTTGCACCGCTGCGATCAAATATTCGACTGTACCGACTAAAATTCGTCCACGATTTCTGCGTTCGAATTTTCTTAACAGCCTGTGTACAGCAACCCCCTACCCTCTAAAAGATAATCGGAGTTTTAATCTACTTTTGGTAGGTAGGGGGGCGTTTTTATACAGACTAATTTTGAGTGGCTAGGTGTATAAATTTACGAACGGTTAGCAAAGTACCGCATGAGCAGAATATCCAAACGCAAGAACCTTGAACCAGAAGGAAATTAATATAGTGTTGTTGTAACTCAGCTTAAAGAATTTCCTGGTGCAATTATAGAAGTACATCAGTTTAAAGACATTAAGGGAGATATATATCGTAGTTAGTACCGTAAGGCTTAGACACAGGATAAAATAATGATTGTCCAATGAAGTGGACATTTACTATCTAGAAAAATTATTATGCTCCAACTTTGTGTTTTAAAATTCATTAATTTTCGATATAAGTAACTTCTGTGAGTTAATTATTTCGGGTTGGATACGTTTTCCAGTTGTACAGAAGGGCGTTATTTTTGATAGTGGAGAATTGAATAAAAGAAAGTTGACGTAGATGTTTTCTTTTAATTAGACTTTGGGTTTGTTAGCAACTCCAACTGAGAGTATTTTATGCCACTTTCAGTGGCATAAAATACCTGCTAGTGCCCATGCACCCACCCCTTAATAGCACCCCACCCATTTTCTCTAGTACCCATGCA